CTTCACAGTAACTCATTGGTTATAGTATAAAAACTATTGAAATAAACTCAGCTAGCGGGCAGTAAAAATTTGCACTTTAAACAATCGCATTTATATTAACAGCGCCATTTGTGTTTAGATGTTAAGTAATTAGAATATTACATCAGCCTCTTAGAGAACCACTCTACGAGTTGTACATATCAAAAATATCTAATGTAAAATTACTCAACATTTGCAAGCTAAAGAACTTCTCTTTAATCATTGCTGCTTATTAAAAAGAGGTTACAAATATTGTTTTAATAGCCAAGACGAGGGGAAGGGACTACCAAATATCTTATGAGTTTTTGTGAATTCTTTGATTACTCTTCAGTGTCTGGTAGCCAGGTAAGATCTTAGCCAAGATCAGCTGACTGTGCCAAAACGAAAAAAAATGTGTTTTTGCTGTTGGAATTTCAGAGAACTCCGCGTGACGCATGAGTTGTGGATTGGGACTCGTATTCTGTTGACTTACTAACCCGTTCCAAGAGCTCTTGTTGTTATTTTTTTGGGCAAGTCAATAAACTGCTGGTGGCGACCCACATTGCAGGCACATGCACCACGCGCCACACACCACCTTTTCTGTGTGTGTCACTTTTTGTTGTTGCTGGGGTTAACTGTTATTTGGCGCAGAAAAAGAAAAATAAAACCCGTTTCAGGGCAAGGTAACTGCATACATTTTACAATATATACGTTGAACAATAAATCGGTTGTCATTATAATATTTATTCTGTGATTTGTGACTTTTTTACACCATATCAAAAAAATGTAGGAAATGAAGAGAATTTCAAATTTTTTGTGACATGCATTTTGGAATTGCTTTATCGTCGCCAACAGCTGCCAAACAATACCGTAATAGGCATATTTGCCATATCTTTTAACTGCCCAGCCCATTTCCTGTGACGCTTAAAAAACAAAACGAATTGTAAAATAAAAACTGAAAATTTATTTAACGGCCAGCGCAAAATGTGCTGCAAGCTGATTTCCACATTTGCTGACCAGTCAAAGGCAAAGTTTAACTTATTTTTACCATTTTCGAAACGCGGCCCGTTGTGCATAATAACGAGTAATTGTTCTAGGCAATGGCATGCACGACTCTAGGGTTACTCTGTGAATTACTAACATTTTAATAATTCAAAGAAAAAATGTTTCTGAATAGATTAAAAAATAGATAAATAGATAAAAAAATGATTGAAAGAAATAATGTTTCTGAATATATTATATAAAATATTTCTGAATTCTATTAGGTAGTTCTATTATCAGTTCTATTACAAAATAAGTTTTTATATAGTATACTACTGGCATGGTATAAATAAATAAGAAAAAACTTCTTAAAAAATGTTAAATTAAATTTAAAAAAAATGTTTGTTCATAAAAAATTACGTATATTTTTTTAATTTAACATTTTTTTATACTATCGAAATAAAAAATGAGAAATATAAGAACAGAAAAAAAGCTTTAAAAAAGATATTTAAAACATAAAAAACAGCGGCTTAGCTGCATTATTTAGCCCGTCACAAACTTGCCTGCTATTGGCTGACATACCTCGAGGCAACCAACTCGTTGCAGGGTATGTAAAGCTGCGCTTTTGCGGGGCATTATAAAAAAGCAAAGCAAAGCAAAGCGCAAAGCGCAAACGAAAGAACAACACAAGAGACTTTGTAAGTAATATGTATGCTGAAAGCACAATAAACACATGCCAATGGGCTGAGGAGACTGAGCACTGGTTACCCACGAGGGGCGGGAGATGGGGGCTGGCTGGCTGGGGTTAATATGTGCATACGAATGCTGGAGTCAGCGCAAATATGTAAGACGAGTCGGGCCCCAACCTGAGCAATCAGGCTGAACCGACATCGGGTGAGGCAACAAAAGTTGGAAAAAAGATACTTTTGCTCTTGTTTATGCACAGCAGCAGATACATAAACAGAGACAAACACACACACACACACAGAGTGTTACACACTTAGGTCAGTGAGAAATCAAATGTAGAAGCGAACAGCTAAATTGATTATGGCTGCAAATGTTTCTTTTACAGAGAATGAGTGAAGTGAGTGGGGGGAGGTGCTGCAAGTCAGATACTTGTGCAACTTTGCAACGAGTTCTCAGCGCACTTGCACTTCCGCAAATTGCAGTTAATTAAGCAACGTCAACAGCAGCGCCTGCAACTGCAACAGCCGCCAGTTTGTCATGCCACATAATTCAACTAGGCACAAACTAATTCTAATTGCGGGTCAGAGTGCAGGTAATTGCCGAGTGACAGTTTAAAAGTCAAAGAACCTTTAAATTAAAGCGAGTGCAAAGGGACTGGGTGTGCGTGTGTGTGACATTTGAGCATAGATAAATTACAAGAGGAACGTTGCAGCTGGGTGTAACCAACTGCCTAATGCTCGTTTGAAGTCTGTCTAAAAATTCAAATTCTGTTTCAATTGTTAATGAATATGTAAGTAGGAGGTAGAATGAGGCTTGGCTTGCCACATAAAGTATATATATATTTTAGATCTTGAAAAACAGCTGAATCGATTTAGGCCTGCCTTTTTGTCTAGTCAATTGATTTGTCTCGTGCCTAAAAGAATCAATGCTCTATAGAAATTAGAAAAATGAAAGGCGCAGATAAAGTTTGATTCACCCAATCGATAATTTTATATATTTAAATCGATTAATCGATATCAATGTACAGTTATGTGAGCATATGTCGTACACTTAACGAACTGTAGTCAAGATTCTTCTCAAGTACTAAATTTCTACTGTTACTACTCTTATGCTATATACTACTATTTCTGCTACTACGCTTACTATACTACTAATACTCCTTTTTTAACGACTATTACTATTACTACTACTGCTACTACTATTAATATTTCACATACTACTACTAATATTACTATACTACTAATAATATTCTACTACTATTGCTATTACTCCTAACACTACTACTGCTCCTATTTCTACTACTATTTCTACTACTGTAGCTACTACTACTACTACTATTAATTATTACTATAACTAATACTACTACTATTTCCACTACTAAAAATCTAATAAACAACATTTTGAGTATCTCTTGCATTGCATTTGCTCAACTCATATTAAAATTCATGCTTATCCTCACGTATATTTTTTCTACTCAAGACCCACCTACCTATCACTGCACTCTAATACTAACACGTTTTTGACTCAGGTATCCCCGACTTTATATACAAGGTGTTAAGTTTCAGAAACTAAATACAAATATGCCCGTTTCCCTTGGCAAACGAGTATAAAAACCAAAGAAATATCAGACGCGTTTGTTAATGAAAATTAATAAGAGATATGTTTGGCTGTCTGAATAGCTGTCTGAAAATGATATAGGGGTATTTGTGGAGCGCTGGCTGATCTAAACTAAGCGGGAGAAACTAAAGCGAAAACAGATATTAATGTTTACTAATTAAAGTTAAATAAACTAGACTAGAATGCGAGTAATGAGAGAGCAAATCGGATTGTAAACCGATTGTAATACGAAACTATTTGATGTTTGATTAGACAGCTCTTTTGAAACCCATTAGAAAGAAGTCTTAACGACTTTCGCCTGCAGACAAATGTTAAGTGAGCGAAAGTTGAAGCAATTTTAAGAAATTCACATTAACAAGCGGAAAAAAAGTGGAAAGCTAGAATATATATAGAGACAAAAAAACAATAATAAAAATGTATATAGCCAAAGGGAATTCTCGATTTAGTCAAAGATAGTTCGCATTAAACTTCTGCAAAACTGCCTCGAGAAAAACCACTCAATAGAGCCAGGCCAATAAATCAAGTTAACTTTGATTACATGGCTCCATTTGCCACAGCTTGAAGCAACAGAAGCAACGAGACACACTTGAGCAGCGCTTCGACTTTCGTGTGGCACTTTCCTTTTTATAAATCATACACAATTTTAGTTGATAGAGCTTTGCCCCAAAGCAACCAATTACCAACTGCTCCGCGACTAATGATAAATGACAGCGAGGCACAAACATAAACACAGACAGAGGCAGAGGCAGAGGCAGACAGCCGTTGCTGCTTGTAAGCTGACAATCAACAAAAAAAAAAAAAAGAAAAGAAGAAAAATTCTCTACACACTCACATAATTAAAACAAAATTTCTGTACCACGCTTTCGCTTATCAGCAGAGCCAGATCTTAGTGCCCCATCAAATCGATCAAAAGCTGACATCCGCTGACTGCCCCCGCCCCCAATAGCCGCACTTCGTCCCCGCCCGCTTGTGTGAGTTGAAGCATATCTGGAGTTGCATCGAAATGCATTTCCGTGAAACGCGACGAGCATGTGCATCCTCAATGGAATGCCTTTGTTCGGTATCCCCGTCTACCCTTTGCCACTTCACTCCGTAGACGTGACTCATTGGAGTTTATTTATTTTTCTACTTTTTTCCACTTTTTTTTTTGGTTTGCGTCGAGATTATAATATGCTCTTGCGGTGCTTCATTAGATTCCGATTCGGTTTGGGTAATTTGATAGGCTCGGCGATTGGGAGCATGCATTAAAATAACAGTTGGCGCTTAGTAGCTATATGCCAATAAACTGTATGCCTGTTAAGACTGTTAAGAGTGGTAATGGAAGGGTTGTTGGGTTGGGCTTCGTTTGAGATAGAAGACAGCAGCCGAGCTCTTTGTTAGAGCAGGGTCTGTGGGGCTTTCATTTTGGGCTTCGAAATTTGAGTTTTCAATAATTGTAATAGATACATTTGTGGTTGGTATATGCCTTGGATTAGTACATTTAGAAGCCATTTCTTATTGGCTTATTCGAGCTAACGTCACTCCAATTGCATATAGTTTATACAATTGTGGTTTAAGCACAGGGTAGCTGCTAGTCTGCCACGTCTAGAAACTGTCTCCTACTGCCTTTTTATGACTTGTAATCAAGCTGAGCAAGCTGGCACTTGATGGCCGAGCCATCAAAAGGTGATTAGAGCAAACCTTAATAACTTAAGCATCTCCTCCATTTCCCGTTTCAGTTTGCAAGGAATGGCTCGTGCGTGAGGACGGCGCCCTGGCCTACAAGCTGCAGTCCCAGGAGAGTAAGTGCCTCAGACTTTTACAACATTAGATTGCACTTTAATGCCCGCTCCCTCTCACGCTCTCTCTTTCTCTTTCGCCCTCTGCAGTTAACGACTTTTATAAGGGCAATCGGTACAGGAATGCGACGGTGCGCGAAGATTTCCCCACGGCTCTGCACGAGCAAATTAAGGAAACGGAACAGGCCCAGCGGCAGGTGGAGGCCTACCGACGACGCCTCACAGAACAGTAAAAATATATTGAATTCCTCAGCTCTTCTCTATGCTTAACTAATGTGTGCCCTTTTTTTTCCATGTGCCAGGGAGGAGCATGACAAACGTGTGGCCAAAGAAATTGCCGATAAGCTTGAACGCGATCTGCAGGAACAGCAGCAAAAGGAGCTGCAGCAGAGCGAGCTAATTGCACAGAAAATGCAGGTGTGTTGCCTAAGGAGATTAAGAGAGGTCATATTAGGATATAGTAATATTAGAAGTTTGTGTTTAGGAGTTTTTGCTAGAGATAGAAGATAGATAAATAAAAGAGACAGAAGAAGCTTCGCATATTCCCAGTTATTACACAAGATAACTGTTATATATTGCTAATATATTCTAGTATAGAAAAATCAGTAAGCAATATGCTGCCTGACCGTCTGTGAATTGTAATTAAAAATGTAAACTGAATATTTGAAAATGTGATCTTATGTTTCTTGCATAGACTAGCGACATTTTATAATTCTCTAAATAGCTTGGTTCTCTTTTAACATGAGCCACATTTGAAATCTGTCACACATCTAATCCGTAACAATTGCAGGAAATCTATGTGAATCTGCCGCCGGTGCCGCCGCCAGCAACACGCGACAAGAGCCGTCCGCCGCCGCGACCAGCCAAAGCAAGTATACTGCAGCAACAGCTGCAACTGCAACACGAATCGAATAGCAGAGTTGAGCCCAGCACCTCACAGCAAGCTAGATATCTCAGTCAGCAGCCGCTGCAGCTGCAGCAGCAACACTTTTCACAAACAGACAACTATGTAGGATTATCGCTTATACCAAATATTGTTGATATGCCAGCAGCAGCAACAGCAGCAACTAGCACACCCACTAAGCAAAAAACACAACCACAACACAATCAGCTGTTGGTGAGTGATGCTGAGCACGCGCCAACAACAATCGCACCGCAGCAACAAGCACGTCACCATCATGCACATCAGCAACATCAATCAGCACGTCGCCTTGCACCAACAACACCAACATCTACATCTATATCGCACAGCCTTACATCTCAGCACACACCCACACACAGCATCAATCATCAGGCAGCTGACATAGACGAGCTGGTGGACTATGCCGATGTTGCTGACAGCATACGCGGCCTGTCAGCAACAGCAGTCGCTGCAGCCGCTGCAGCGGCAACTGTTGTCGACGCAGTCATGCCCCAGCGTTCGGCCTCACACGAAAACTTACTGCGTACCGAACCGAAATTTCAGAAACTATCTCCGGAGAAATACGATCAGATGGTGGGCAACTTTGCGCTGGGCAACGCCAAAGCCGTCGAGCGGCACATGCAGCAGCACGCGGACGACATTGAGCTCTATGTGGATCCCTGCGACTATGCGAGCCTGCGTGACATTGGACTACCGCCCGAGGAGCTGCACGAGCTGAGCAAGAAGCTCAAGCAGGAGCAGAAGGACGAGGTGAGCTTACATCTATGTCATATACTCTTTCTATTGCTAATGTTGTTGGCTTTCTTGCAGCTGCTGGCGCGTCGCCTGCAGGCCATTGAGAGCAAGGATAGCGTGCGTCAGGAGCAACGCGATCGCATGCTGGCCATTGAGGCACAGGACAAAGAACTCGCCAAGATGCTGCAGGAGCGCGTAAGTTGAACAGATCGAAATTTAGTATTCTGTAGAAACCCTAATCCAATTGTTAAACTGAATATATTTTATTATATATCCTCAATGATCTCTTAACTCAATTCTTGTTCCAAGTACGGAAAAAATATATTCAAATTACGGAAACTCAAAATTTCTGCAGTTAAGGTAAAAGATGAATGGATTTTTGTATGCTTAACTGAAGTAGGTCTATGCTGATGCAGCTAGTTGATCATTTCAGTCAATAGGTATACGCAGTGTCATAAGGATATCTTTGAGGAGTACTTAGGATAATAACACAGCAGATAAAATGTATTATAAAGAGTGTTGGAGCTCTTTCTCTTTGACTTTCTTTTCCTAATATATAAATACATCTTTGTTTATATGTCTAGAATCTTTTATAGTTACAGGGCATTATAATGCCAGCTAAATTTCGGTATGCTATATCTTGCTCTATCTATATATATCAAGAACTTAAGTCTTCTTTACTCTTGTCTTGTTTTCTGTTTTATGCAAAAGTTGTCAGTCTAACTTTGAGTTAAGAACTCTATTAGGAATTAGTAAAATTATAAATAAAATTCTAAGCATTAGACAATAAGCATTACTTCATATTTGAGATTAAGTCAAAATTCATTTGCTTTGCTGTAGACAGAGTTTTCTTCATATATTTAATGCAAATAAAATATATTTTATTAATTATGAACAACTTCTTAATAAAGCTCAATCATTTTTCAAGTTTTACATTATTATAATATAAAATAAATATATAAAATTTCTTATATTCAAATATATATTTAAAAAAAATTTTAAACACAACTAAATCATTTCGTTCGTCTTTAACAGGAAAAAGCCAAAGTGAAGCGCGCCAAGGAGAAGGCGCGCCTGCGCAAGTCGCAGCAAAAGGAAGCAGGAGCAGTAGCTGGCGCTGGTGTTGCTGCCAATGGGGTAAACAGTTTGCTCTGCGGCACAAATGGCTCGCATTGCGGGCCGCTGCTGGCTCTGCCGCAGGACTGTATGTCTGCGTCACAAATGTCAAACGATATCGACGTGGAAGCCTATTCAAATCCCATTGATGTGCTCAACAGCAGCCGAGCAGCAGTTGAGCAGCGCCAGCCTAATGGCACACTGACCAATGGCAGTCTGACCAGAGACAGCAGCTCCGCGCACGGCTCCATGCAGCGGCAACAGCGACAGGCGGCCGCAGCTGCCAGCAGCCTGACACGCGGCGATGATGACATCTATACCCTGCCCGTGGACAGCTGTCGACCTGGGCAACCGCGACCCATCTCTTTGCATTTGACTGCAGATGCCGTGCAGCAGCATAATTCCATGACGCGGTAAATCGATCAATCAGCGACTTCATTGGCTTTGACTTAAGTTTTTCTCTCGCTACTTCCAGCTCGGAGCACTATGGCTCAGAGGCGGGCTCTCATGACAGCACGCTGTCCAGCGGTCACGATGTCTCGCCGCATCTCAAGTACTCCAAGTCCGGCAACTTTGGTATATATGTATTTAAAGCCTGCTCAATAATCAGCTGCTATATATTAATCTATCTCACTGTCTGTAGATCAAAGCGTCAGCCCTACGCCGCCTTACATGCCAATTCAAGGTACACGACGATCAAATTCAAGTGAAGATCGTAAAAAGAAATCCAAGGACAACAAGTGCACGCATCAGTGAAGCCGCCCTGCGTTCATAGCATATAGACGATCTTTACTATATCTACTTATTCGTACATCGCTCCCTCTCTCTTTCACACTTATTATAAACGACAATGAAATTGTTTAGCTCACATCAACTTTCATCATATTCACAACTTCAACTAGTTTAGCTCGTAGTTCTTAGATAAGCTTTATTTGAATCCTTTGTTGTGTGTATCGCATCTGTTAACAGACAACTCAGCTTTGGGTTTACAATAAATGTTTGTTAATAAGCATAAGGATGTTATTTGTGTTTCTTTTGTTGGATTTGTGGGTGAACAATATTTGGTCTAAGAAAAAGATAGTAGATGCGTATACTAATATTTAATTATATGTTTGCCTTAAGTTTTTAGTTGAATTATTACGTTATTCTATTACGTTATAACTATGTATTGGAATTTAATTGACGATTGACTTCCATGAAGAGTCGATAGAAGTCCAGTTGATCGCATGGCAGTCAGTTTTAGTTGATATATGATATGATAAGCTGATATGATATCATTTGCCGAGCCTATAATAAAAAAATTGTATTAATTAAAATTAATTTCGAAGCATCTATTTCATAATAACTGCTCACAAAATGGATTCTCCTCTATCAAAAAAAAGGTTAATGATATTATCTTAGGCTTTTAAGACTTCTAAAAAAAGAAACATTTAAAGTCGTTCCTTAAGTTTAGAATCTGAATTTATATATACTATATATATATATATATATATATATATATATATATCATTATGTATGAACAGATATTTGATAATAATTTTAAAATAAAATATAAAAATGCTCTTCATCAGGTCAGCTTGACTTTTACAAGAGGGCAGATGAAAACATTAATGTGCTATATTTCTGAGTTCTATATTTATCTCTACATATTTGCAAAAACTTTTAAGGCTTCTTGAAAAACATTTGAGAATGATCTTAAATTTTTAAATATTAGTTTAAGACAAAATAATTTTAAATAAATACTTAATGATATCTGATAATAGATGTAAAAATCAATCATTATTCAAATACATATTATAAATCTCTATAAGGTTCTACTAGATATTCAAACACTTTAGAGATATCATCTGAGCATAATCCATTGAGCTTCAAATTCATTTTAAATCATCATCATGGCTAAATTTTTCCCATACTTACATACATAGACAATAGAAAGATCCAGATCATCACATCATTATCAGCATTTCAGACAGCATACTTCATACATTCACACCTGGATAGCACAGCAAAGAAAAGTCGTATAAAATGAAAATACTTATGAATGGAATGTCTTGTTCATATATATACAAACGTTATTAGCCCATATAGACATATCCAGTTAGACGTATATATCTGTACATATATACATATGTAGACTGAGCTCGATGTGTACTTTTTACTAACATCAGCAAGTTTGCGTCCAATACCGGAGATCAAAACTTGTGAAACTGGTATTAAAAGTCACAAGTTAGGGTCTCAGGGAATCAGCCATACAAACATTTGCACATGTCACTAATACCAATGTGTAATATGCAGTGAATTTCTTATGATTACAGATCAACTATGTATTATAATAATAATGTGAAAACACTTTCGCACACACACGCACGCACACACACACGCGCGTACTCAGAGATAGAGAGAGAACACATTGTATGGCTGGGAGAGTGTGTGTGGGATGTCTTTGCGGCTTATAGTCAAGCAAAGAAAGCTAGCACGCTGTATAGTATGGTCTATAAGTACTACTATACAACCTACTACCTCAATTTGCCAGAGAGAAAAAGGTCCTTGGTGTAGTCCTTTTTGCTTGCTTGGTTTATGTCAGTTGGTTTTTAGGTTTGGATTTTGGGATTCGAATTGAGTAAATCAAATGAAACCAAAAAAGCAACAACGAAAAACTTAAAGAAAATTGCATAAAAATATATGGATTTATGTTAGGAAATATAATGTTAAATTAGGTAATTTGTTAATATTTAAATTAAGCTTTAATTAATAAATTAATCTTTAAAATTATATTTATATTTTCTTATATGAATTCAACTCAGATTAACTCATAAATATTATTTTGCTTTCGTATTTATTAATATTTAATGTTTAAAACATTTATTTATTTATTCATATTTATATATATTATATTATATTATTTAAGTTGTTCATTTATTATATATATATATATATATATATATATATATATATATATATATATATATATATTAAATTAAATTTGCACGTAGATTTAAATATAATATTTAATATAACAAACAAGTATTTCTTTGCATTTCCTTTTCTTTCCTTTTTAAAATTTTAATATTTTTTATTATCAATTTTTATACAAATCAAATTAAATAATTATATATTATATTATATTTATTATCAAACTTTTTATTACAAATTAAATCAATTTATTTGTTGTTTTTTTTTCTATTAACTTGTGTTATTAAATATTGTTATTGTTTCAAAAGGTATTTATTATTCTTTTATGATTTTGTTCATATTATGACTTATTATATTATATAATAATATAATTTTATATTTTTTGTATTCATTTTACAACTTGTTTATTTGTTTTCCGTTTGCATTTTATAAGTAAATTTTATTAGTTTTGTTTATAGTGTGAAATATGTAATTGATTTAAAACTTTTTATTATTATTTTTATTTTGTAAGTATTTTACAATAAACTGGATTTGTCTCTCACATATACGAAGATTTATTGTTTTACTCTTATGAATTACACATTTTATTAAATTATAGAAGATGTTTAGTTTATTTTGTTGATTTGTGAATGAACTTCATATTTGTTTGTTGATTCTATTACTTTTTTGTATTTGTTTATAGTTTTTTCAATGTTGCTCTGTTTTGTTGCCAAAAACCAAGTTGTTTGCATTGACAGACTCCCATAATGCCGGTCTTGTAACAGATATAAAACAGCACAAGTTCGGATTTACGGGTTTCTGTTAATGGTCCATATGTAAGTATGCACCATTTCTCATGGGATTTACTAAGTTCTCTGATTGATGCACGAGCATTTCGAGTTGTTGCGAAATTCCAGTAGTCTGCTGAAAGCTGAAAGAAAGAAGGGATTTTTAATGTTTGTGGCTGATAAAGTTGAAGCTTACTGCGTACGCCTCTTGGCAAAGTTGTTGCTGTGGCATGGAATCTGTAAATAGTGAAAGAAAAAAGAATTAGACTTGTAATACATCTTTTGTGACTATTTCATATAGATGTTTCATATATGTACCTATTTTTAGTCCTAAATATTCTTCTTTTTGCTTAAGCTTAATCCTCAATAGATTTGCGTCTGCCGGCCACGTAAGCCGCTTGCTTGTTGCAAGCTGCAATTCAATTTGCAACAAAGAAACGTTCGCTCGACTGCCACAACACATGCATCGCCCACAAAAATAGCCACGAAACAACTAAAAACCAACAACAACGACAACAACAAAAACAAAACAATTTGCACTCTAAAAGTTGCCTTTTAGCCGTATCTAGCTATGTTTTTAGCTCTATTTTAGCTAAATATGCTATGCATATGTACATATCTATGTATGTATGTGTGTATGTGTGCATGTGTGTTAGCTTTAGTTTGGCTGCTTTGGGCAACTTGGCGTTGCGCTTCCTGAACGGCAAATGCCTCGGAACAACAAAAAACTGAAACTGAAATGCCATTGAGCGTGGCAGCGGCAGCGTCAGTGCCAGCGTCTGTTGTGCAGCGACTGCGCTGCTGCAGCTGAGCGGAGCGCTGTGTGTGTTTGTGTGTTGCTGTATCTATCGAGTGTTTTGGCTATATGTTGCTTGTTGTGCCCGTTGTTGTTGTTGCATACATATGTACAGCAGTGAGACGCTGCCAAAATGCTGCTGCGTCTTCACCCATTGGCCTGCCACATGATTCTTTGGTGGTAGCAGTAGCGCACGCACACACACACAACTGTCGCGCTGTGTCTGCGCGCAGTTCGTTGGCTGTACCTATTTTAGCCAGGACCTGCCTCAACAAATTCACACAGCCAACAACGACGTCACACACACACGCGCGCTTCCTTCCTACTTATGTTGCGACGCTGACGTCGACGTTGACGTCGCGCAAAAAAACCGGTAACTGCTCTGCCAGCAGCATGAGCTTTGCATTGCCATTGCCCCTGCAGCTACTAAAGCTCTCTTGCTCGCTCTCTCGCTCACGCTCTCTCTCTCTCTCTCTCTCTTAGGCACACACTCTCTTATACTTAGGCTGTGCTGCTCTTAGCATGCATTTGTTTACTTTTTGTTTTGTTTTTGTTTTGCACTATAAAAGCAAAACTTTTCCATCTAATATAAGCTGTAATTATTTTGGGATTTGACCAGACCAAAGAGGAAAAGAGCAAATTATAATATTATACATACGCCTGGTAAGCCGGGTCAGTTTATAATTTTACGGTCGTCTGTTAGTTAACATTTTCTTTATTTCCTTTTGACGCGGCTGTTTGCATTTTCCGCACAGCTCTGCAAACAATATCGAAATTCGCTTATTATTTGCACATTAATCAACAATTTTCATTCGACTGCGCGCAATCATGTGGAAATGTTTGCATGGAAAATGAACTCGCCGGCTATTAATTTTCATTTTTAATGCTGACCGCGTGCGGGTGTGCTGGTGTGTGTCTGTGTCTATTTGCCTGCAGGCTATTTAAATATGCAGCTCGCTTGTTTAATTGGTTTATTTACTGATTCATTTTGCGGGCACTGCATTTGTTACCGAACAGCCAATAAAATATGAGCAGGAAACGTAAATTAGATCGTTTTGTGCAGGAAACATTCAAAACTGTTCATAGTTGTTTTGTATAATTGTTACCAATCAATGTGTACACAAAAAAAAAAAGATTTTATTTATTTATTACAACAAAAAATTTTGTTTCCAACACAAAAATTGTTTACTTAATTTAAGTTTATTTAATTCTTTCTTAATTAAAAATAAAAAAGTAATTCCATTTCATAAAAATTCGTATTTTTATGAAATATTTTTGATAAGCACATAAAAAAATAAAATATTTTTAAAATATTAGGTATTTTTATTTAATGAAAATTCTTTGTCTTTTTAATACTTTTAGTTTTCCATTCATTAACTCATTCAAGTTTATTTAATATTTTAAAATAATTTCCTTCTTATATACTTGAAAATTTCCCTTTTATCAGTATTTTTTCCTTTTTCATTTCATTTTATATTATTTTTGTAATATTTATTTTATTTTGTGTTGCATTCATTTTATTTTAATTTAATTCCATCCCTAGGGAAAATTCTCGCGTTTTCACACAACAATTTTAAAAAACCAAGGCCAAAGGTGCCTCCGCATAAAAACCACAATGCCACACATACTCACACACGCTCACACACACACACATACAGAAATTATGGCACCTATATGAATCTCAGTTGCACATAATTATGCAATACGCCATTTGCAAGCGCGCTCTCTTAAGCTCGCTCTCGCTCTCTTCT